AACGCAGCCATCAGCTCGTGCGTGAGCGGCCAGGATTTGTGGCAGCATGCGCTCTGGCTTTTGGCAGACCTGTTCGACGCAAAGATGGAGCCCGACGTCATCAGCTACAGTGCTGCAGTCAGCGCTTGCGAGAAAAGCGGGCAGTGGCAGAATGCGTTGGGGTTGTTGAATGGTTTGCGGGATCGCAACATGCAAGCCGATTCAATACTCTTCAGTTCTGTAATCAGTGCATGTGCCAAGGGCAGGGAGTGGGTGTATGCTCTGTCGCTGCTTCGCGCGATGTTGGAAGATATGCTGGAGCCGAACGACTACAGCTACAACGCTGGTGTCAGTGCGTGCGAGAGGGGTGGGCAATGGGAGCTGGGGCTGTCTTTGCTCGAAGAAATGCGTGAGGTGCGATTGAAATTGAGCACTATCAGCTATAGTGCCGGAATCAGTGCTTGCGAGAAAAGCGGTGAGTGGCAGTCGGCGTTGTCGTTGTTGAGGGATTTGAAGGAAGTGGAGTTGGAGGCAAATGTCATCTCGTACGCGGCTGGGATGAGCGCGTGTGAGAAAGGTGGGCAGTGGGAGATAGCTTTATATTTATTTAGAGAGTTGCACGAGGAACAGTTGGAGGCAAATGCTATCGCTTGCGGCGCCGGAATAAGCGCGTGCGAGAAGGCGGGGGAGTGGCAGCAGGCATTATGCTTGTTGCAAGAGTCGTGCGAGGGAAAGGTTGAGCGAAATTGTATCTTAGACCACAGAGATACCCCTTAAGCAAGCTGGGAAGTGCACAGGTTTTCAGGCCCCTCTTGGCCTAGAACGCTTGCCTTCTTGGCCGTCTTGGCCTCTCTCAGAGTTGCAGAGGGCTGGTCTTGCTGGGGGTCCTTGAAGTTATTTCTGCTTCACCTTGAAGCTCTCTGGAGCTCTCACGAGCCACCCATCTAATCTCAACCAGCGGTGCTATCTGGAGCCGCTCCAGGAGCCCATTGGCGACTGCCGTGCTCATCTGTATGTGTTGGGAACCTTCGACACGATCCTCCAGTCCCCTTTGCTGTGTACGGGCGGCCTCCTGAGGGCCGTCTGGTAGGCATCTTGGCGTCATCTGCTGCGGCCATGTCGTAGGCATGAGGCCCAGAGCTCCCCCGCGCATCCTCGGGCGGAAGGTCCGGCGACACCACCACCACCACCAGGGAGACCACCTCCAGCGACGAGGCCCACGATTCAGGAGGGAAAGAAACACACACAGACACGATTCATCGTCGACTCCCAGGAAACTGTGGGAAACTATGGGAAGTGGGGGGGAAGACGAAAACCCAGAAAATATTGGGAAATTTGGGGAATCCTGTTATTCGTGTGTATTTATTTGTGTGTCCCTGGGTTCCTTTAACGATGCCTCCCCGAGCTGGGGGCAGGGGACGTCTTGAGCCAACGGCTGGAACCCGCACCGCTCAGAGGACCCTCCCCGGCGCCCCGCCCTGGTGGTGGTGCCATTATTGTAGTGGCCTTCGGCCAGTGCCGCCGATCCGGGGCGCTCCGACTGATGTGATCCTTCGCCCTCGTCCCTCCTCTGTTTTTCCCTCCCCTCCTCTCACTCAGCATTTATCCAGTGGCCGTCGGCCTATCCCGCCACCGTGTGTGGGTGGTGGGTCAGAGGCCTCATGGATGCTGGTTGGGATCTCGTGGTTGGCTGGGACTTCTGGGGGCCTCTTGGGCGCCTCTTGGGGCTTCTTGGGGGCCTCTTGGGCCTCTTGGGGCCACTAGAGGGCCTCTTGGGGGTCTCTTGGGAGCCTCTTGGGGCTTCTTGGGGGCCTCTTCTGCGCCCCTTGGGGCCTCTTGGAGGCCTCCTCGGAGCCTCTTGGTGCGGGAGGGGTGGTACTCGAGTTCGGAACCCCCTCGGAGGCCACGATCCTTGTGAGGGGTGTCAAAAAACGCATCCGCCGGAAACTCGCACCCCCCCCCCCCACCCCACCCCCCCTTCCCCGGCAGAGCCACCCCGGCAACACCCCAGAGGCTGAGGCTCAGCCTCGAGGCTGTAGCTGAGACTCCTTGAAACTCACACGCCGGATCGGCGGATGTCCCTGGGTTCCTTTAACGATGCCTCCCCGAGCTGGGGGCAGGGGACGTCTTGAGCCAACGGCTGGAACCCGCACCGCTCAGAGGACCCTCCCCGGTGCCCCGCCCTGGTGGTGGTGCCATTATTTCTCTGTTCCTGATCCCAGCCTCTCCCTGGTACTGATCTCGGGGGTGGACAGACCTTCTACCCTGACACGTCGACTGGCGAATTGGCCGTTTTCGGTTCGCGAGAGGGCGTCGCGGCCGTCATTTTTGCGGATCCAGGTCCGTCGGTTTCGGTTCCAGGCCGTTTTCACTAAAGGGAGGTTTGCTAAAGGGAGGTTTGTCCACCGCCGATGATCTTGGCGGTGGTGTCGGAAGCCCTCCCACCCCATCTCGGGCCGAACGAAAGGGGGGGATAGGGAAGGGGGGGGGGTCACGAAATCTGCTGCATGCAGATGGTTTCGGCCCCACCGAGGGGCCCAGTCCTCGATGCATGGCAGCCTCCGGCGCCGGGAGGCGCCGGGAAAATCAGCTACGTGAACGAATTCTCAAACCCCCCTTTGCTATCCCCCCTTTTCGCCCGGCCCGACCATCCCACATCGCAAGACCTCCCCGTCTTGAGTGCCAATGGAACGCGATTGGCACGCGGATGCTGGAATGGAGGTTGGCCAGCTTTCCCGCCGGGTGGCCCCGCCAGGCGCAGAACAAATTTGAACCATAATTGGTTTCCAAAGTCGCCCAATAGCAACAGCAGCACCAGCGCATCCAAGAAGACACATGGGCAGCAGTGCTCGTATACCGCCACTAACCTTGGCGTTGAAGTTCCATCACAGTGCGATGCGACGAGCGCGATTGGCTCAAGGATGCCAGCAAGGCAGTCGTCGGATTGGCAACGTACGATACTTCGTTTTTTGTTTCCAAAGCACATCTATGTATGTATATGTATGTACCTGTGTGTATGTGTATGTCTATATGTATGTAGAGATTACAGATCTGAGGTTCCCACGTCTTCTCACCGCCGCCCCCTGTCTTCTAGAAACGCCCATGCGGCCAAACGTTGGGCCGAAGTCTGGCCAAGCTATTGGCCTATGTGTTCCCCCATCCGTTGTGGAACCCCTTGGGGAAACAATGGGCATTGGAAGAGAAAGGAGGAGGAGGAGGAGGAGCAGGAGGAGGAGGAGGAGAAGGAGGAGCAGGAGGAGGAGAGGGAGGAGAAGGATCAGTAGGAGGAAGAGGAGGAGTCCTCTTGAGGCCCTCTTGGGGCCTCCTGGGGGCGTCCTGGAAGCTTTTGGGGTGGCTCAAAAGGACTCTTGGCGGCCTTGGGCCTCGTGGGGTTTTTCTGGGGCCTCTAGGGGGCCTCTTAGGGCCGCTACAGGACCTCTTGGCCTTGGCCTTCGGAGGCCGTCGTAAGGCCCGCTTCAGGGCCTCCTTGGAGGTCTCCGGGGCCGTCTTGGGGGCCTCTTGGGCTGCCTTGGGGCTCTCTTGGGCCTCCCGCCCACCCCATTCTCACGGGCGGGGGGTCGCACCCCCCCCCCCCCCGGGTAAATTCTAACGAACGTGCGGGGGGGGCCGTTGTCACCGTCGCCGCCGCCGTTGGCGGGGGGGGCCGTTGTCACCGTCGCCGCCGCCGTTGTCGTCGTCGTCGTCGTCGTCGTGGTCGTTGTCGCCGTGGTCGTCGTCGTCACCGTCGTCGTCGTCGTCGTCGTCGTCGTCGTCGTCGTCGTCGTCGTCGTCGTCGCATCGTCGTCGTCGCATCGTCGTCGTCGTTGACGTCATCATTGTCGTCGCCGTCGTCCTCGTCCTCGTCCTCGTCGTCGTCCTCGTCGTCATCGTTACCGTCGTTATCGTCGTTATCGTCGTTATCGTCGTTATCGTCGTCGTCATCGTCGCCTCCTCCGAGGTCCTCGAAGGGCCCCTAGACGCCTCCAGAGCATAAGGAGACTTCTGGAGACCTCCAGAGGCGGCAGTCGTCGTCCTCGCCCTTCGTCTCCTCGTCCTCGTCCTCGTCCTCGTTGTCGCCGTCGTCGCCGTCGTCGTTGTCATTGTTGTTGTTTTTCGTCCTCGTCCTCGTCCTCGTCCTTGTCCTCGTCGCCCGGCGCCGCCCCCCCCCCCCCCCCCTCGCGAGGCCCGACCACATTACCGTTAATTACCCCCCAGCGGGGGCCCGATTCATCCCCTCCCCCGTAGCGGACGTTACGAGGAAAAGTAAGCAAACAATCTCCAGCCCAGGAGGGGGCTCGGGAAAGCCCGAGCGATGTTTTTCTTGGAGCGGGAATCCCCGCATAGGGACAGACGAATTACGCCCCAGAGTTCCGAACCATTTTTTTTTCAAATACCCCATCATTCGCGCATACGTGCGTATGCTCAATGGGACGAGCGGCGCGCGTTCAACGTTTATCGGATTGGTTTTCTCGGTGTGGTAATACTCATTGCTACACATGTTGTTGCTCTCTATGCCATGACCTGTGATGAAACAAGTTTTGTTGCTCTCTATGGCTGTTGCTCTCTATGTCATGACTTGTTGCTCTCTATGTCTTGTTGCTCTCTATGTCATGACCTCGTCAGTCTGCAATGCTCTTAATAAACTCACCGCAGGCGCTTAATTTTTACAAGTCGTACAACGTGCTCGCCGCACGCGCCGATCGTTTCGCTAGAGCAATGTGGGTGGGTCGCGGCCGGGTCGCGGGGTTGGTCGCAGGCCTGTCGCGGGTGAGTCGCGTGTGGGACGCAGATGGGTCGTTGGTGGGTCGTAGGTGGGTCGCGGGTGGGTCGCAGGTGGGTCGCTGAGTGGGTCGCTGAGTGGGTCTTGGGCTGAGCGCGCTCTTCGAATTGCTTGACAGATATGTGCACGTTGCGGAGCAGTCCATGTCTAGAATCAACGCTTCATTGTACGGTACATGTTGCGATTGGTGCGTGGCATTTCGGAAGTATGAATGTAGTTTGGTTGCCTTAGACGGCAATTCATGTATAACGCTGGCATCAGCGCGTGCGAGAAAGGCATGCAGTGGCAGCGTGCAATGTTGTTGCTGCTGGACATGCAGGACGAGGCGGTGGAGCTTAACATTATCAGTTACAACGCTGGAATTAGTGCGTGCGTGTCGAACGGGCAGTGGCAGCAAGCACTGTCGTTGTTGAAGGACGCTCAAGACGTGAAGCTGGAACGAGACGTGATCAGCTTCAGTTCAGGAATTAGCGCGCTGGAGAAGGGTGGGCAGTGGCAGTTGGCTTTGCTTCTGCTCATGGAGTTGCGTCAAGACTTCCCAGCAAACCTCATCGCCTATAGTGCTGGAATCGCCGCATGTCGAAAAAGTGGGCAATGGCAGTGGGCTCTATCACTGCTGAGGGAATCGCAGGACAACTTGTTGGAGGCGAACATCGTGACCTACATCACTTGCATTCGTTCGTGCAGGGAGTGGGGCCAGTGGCAGGTTGCGATATCGTTGCTAAGCGAGTTATTGCGGCGCTCCGCGCGTGTCACTGGCCCAATGTGTGGCTCCGGTATGTTTCTTGGATTAGCCATGGGGGTTCGCATGCCGTTGTGCGGGGCAGCTTTGCTACCCCGTTGCCGCGTGAAAGCCCACACGGGAAAAGATCACCACCTTGAAGGACGTCAGCTAACCATCGCCAATCATTGACGTGCGTATGCAGAGCATACAATACATGAGTAGCGTTGTGATCTCACCTCCCCCTCCCCTCTCTGCTCTCTCGTTCGGTGTCCCCTCGTCGTCGTTCCCCCTCTTTGCCACAGGGCTCCTCCGCGCAGGTAAAGAAAAGTGCTGTGATCTCACGCGCGGGATGCATCCGACTGTTCCGATGGAGCGCCTCGCGTGCGCAGGCTCGGGGGGCCACCTGGAGGCTTGGCAGGGCAGTTTCGAGGACGTGTGTTGGGGCTTCCTCGGGCGTCTCTGTGCACTTGAACGAGCCTGTTCGAGCAATTTGTTTGTGAGTGTGCGTGTTTGGGGGGATTGGGTGATGTTTCCCCCTCCCTCGGTGGGCGACACGGACCACCGCAGCCATGCTGGACCCACTTGTCGGGCCATCGTCGGGCCCCTTGTGGCAACGCTGGGGCATCATCGCCCCACAGCTGTACAGTGCAGGATCTTACACGGCTTTGACCCGTTGGCAAGGGCTCCCTCGAGGGCGCGAAGTTATTCGCGCTTCGCGCTTCGCGGTCCTCGTTCCTTCTCCCCCTCCTCCTCGTCCTCCTATTCTCCCTTTGGGAGGGCGGCGCGAGAGCGCGAAGTTATTCGCGCTTCGCGCTTCGCGCAGCGCGAAGCGCGAAGTTGGGAGCCCTAGGCAACGCTGGGGCATCATCGCCCCACAGCTGTACAGTGCAGGATCTTACACGGCTTTGACCCGCTGGGTTGACGAGTCTGATTTACAAATTGAGCGGGATGCCATGAGCTGGTGTGCTGCAATGAGCGTGTGCGACAAGAGCGGGCAGTGGCAGCACGCGTTGGCGCTGTTGAAGGACATGTCTGCAGCCAGGTTGCAGTTGGACTCAGTCCTCCTTGTCCTCAGCAACCCCCCGGACGCGACGGATGCGCCGATCAGTTTTGATTCGTCGAGCTTCCAGTCATTTCAAGATTCTCACCCGAGCCCCGAGCCCCCCCCCGTCAACAGGTAGCGGGCCGAAAGTTTCTCGCAGCCAGGTTCGAGCGAGTGTCAGGATCGGTTTAATTTCTGTTTGAGCTTGAGATTCCAGATTTTATGTGCTTCGACGGTTACGCTCTCGCCTTGCACTTCCTCACCCTTTACTCAAGGGCGCCCTCGAGGGCGCGAAGTCATTCGCGCTTCGCGGTTCGGCTCGGCTTCCCCATCCTCCTCTTCTCTCCTGGGAGGCGGCGCGAGAGCGCGAAGTTTGTCTCACTTCGCGCTTCGCGCAGCGCGAAGCGCGAAGTTGGGAGCCCTTGTTACTTTGGGATTGCGACGTCGCTCGAGACGTCGTGGCACTTCCTGTGGGCTGACGCTTCAGCGACCTGCCCGCCCGGCCCGACCGTCCGGTCTCTCCCGCCCGACCCGCCCGTCAGGGTCCGCCCGGCAGACCCTCCCGTCTGGATTTGCCTCGCTCGGTGTCTTGCTCCTAGCCGCCCTCCTGCGAATCCCTCGTGCTCCAGCCTTCTCCCCCCCCCTTGTCTCAAGGGCGCCCTCGAGGGCGCGAAGTTATTCGCGCTTCGCGGTTCGGCTCGGATTCCTCCTTATCCTCCTCTTCTCTCCTGGGAGGCGGCGCGAGAGCGCGAAGTTAGTCGCATGTTGGGCTTCGCGCAGCCAGAAGCGCGAAGTTGGGAGCCCTTGTTGTCTTTTCTCTCCTCCCTCTTCTCCTTAGGGGCTGTGCCAACTACACGTGGCAGGCAAGGAAGCTACATACTCCCAATAGGGGCACTATCGAAGACGAAGGGGGCGGGTATCGAGGGTTCAGGATGTGCATGCTGATGACACGCGAGCAGATGAGAGCGAACAGTCTGAAAGGGACGGTTGCTCTTGCTATTGTTATTGTCGTTTGCTCCGCCAGTTACACGTCCCCAAAGGGGGCTCGATCAAAGACGAGGAGAACGGTTATCGAGGGTGTGGGATGTAGAAGTTGAGCGACACGCGAGCAGACAAGAGCGGACAGTCCTATCATGATTGATGTTGTTGACAAAGGTCGGGCTACGCACCCAGGGCGGGAGGAGGGGAGGGGGGGGAAGTAACAACGCACGACCACAAGACAGCCTAGCCCCCTGAGGTTCCAACCGTTCCCATACCTATGCGACCACCCTTCGGGTGATAAGCAGGTTGGGGGGGCGAGGGGAAACCAACTGACGACAGATTTGATGACTTCGATAGCGACGAGACAGCGGCGAGGCACGATGACGCTGATGGTGAGAAGGCATCATGGCGACCATCGACCTCTCTGTCGATGCCACTTTCGATCTCGTCATCGAAATCTCTATCTCTCTGTAGATCTCCCGATGGGTACCACTATCGACACCCCTATCGAACTCACATCGATATCGCTATCGCTCTCAAAATGGTTCTCACGATCGATCCCACTATCGATCTCACAATCGATCTCACCACAGACTTCACGATCGATCTTACTATTGACCACACCATCGATCTCACTATACATCTCACTATCGATCTCACCATTGATCTCACTATCGTGCCACCGACGGGGCACCCCCCGCCGCCGACGGGTTATCGATATCACAATCGATCTCACCACACGTCTCACTATCGCTTTCACTACTGGCCTCACTATAGATCTCACTATCGATCTCTCCACCTCGCCACCTTTGGGGCCCCCCCCCGCCACCGACGGGGCACCCCCGCACCCACGACAGACCACCTCCGCATCACCAGCTGGGCACCCCCGCATCCACGCGGCGGGGCACCCCCGCACCGCAAGCGGGACACCCCCGGCCACCGCGCGCCCGGAGGCGGAGCGGTCAAACGGCTCGATGTCCCCTAGTCGCGCCGACATCATTCCTGTCGCGCGGCCACGCAGTTTCGCCTCGCCTGCGCGCGCGGCACGAACACGAAACCGAAACAGATTTGACGGTGGGGGGTCTCTCCGTCCCATTGCGATCTCTCACCCCCTAACCTTCGACCGTTTGTTGTTGGTTCTTCACCATTCCTGCACATGTAGCCGAATTCCCTTCGAGGTGCCATTCCATTCCATTCCACACATCTTGTGTACCATCCCGACTAGGTCCCCTTCGACGTCTACCCCACAAGGTCCCGAACCATTCATATACCATCCCTTTCGAGTCCCATGCAGTCCCCTTCCCATCCCTATAGTGTGCCATACCTGTCTTGTATCATCCCTACTAGGACGCACACCATTTTCATAATTTGTTCTGGGGTCCCACATCTTCCCTGTACAAACCCTTCGAGGTACGATATTCTGTCCATGCAAATCCTATACAGTTCCTCTTAGGTCAAAACCATTTCTATGCATTTCCCACATGGTCCCATGCCGTTACTATGTCATCCTTATTCGGTCCCTTATGTGTCCCAACCTTCCTTGATGCTGAGTCCTCGTTTTGAATCCGCAGTGTCGCGCGTCTTCTCCTCTCTTCACTTCATTCTCTCCTCGCCTCAGCCACTGTCCCCCCGCCAGTTCAGCATCATCCAATTCCCTCTTCACATTTTGGCTGACACCTCACACGTCTCGTGGCCCCATACGGAGCTCCACCGATGGGCCTCAGTTGCTGCGTCCGTTGTGGCCCCGCCCCATTTCCGCCAGACCCCTCGCACGCTTCGTGGACCCTGGGGTACAGTGCAATTGGCTTTACCTTTGGCCAGGCCAAAAATACCTTGACCACAGGGGTAGCCACAACTTTCGAAGGATCACGCCGCTACAAAAAAACTAAATGCGAGCCAGAGATTACAAAAACACCTTACATTGGAAAAGTGTCGAACCTATATGTGAGACGACTATCCACCGAAGGCCCCCATGGCTGACCCCGCATGCGGCTCCGCCCACGGCACACCCATCACACGTGTCGTGACCCCACAGGGAGCTCCACCGAAGGCCCCCGTGGTTGCGTCCGCATGCGGCCCCCGTCCAATTGTGGAACACCCCACAAACGGCTCATGGCCCGACAGGCAGCTCCACCGAAGGCCCCGGTGGCTGCGTCCGCATGTGGTCCCGCCCCACTTCGGCAGACACTTTCCATATTTCGTGGCCCCATTCGGAGCTCCACCGAAGGCCCCAGTGGCTGCGTCTGTATTTGGTCTCGTCCCATTTCGGTAGACCCCCCGCACATTTGGTGCTTTATAGGAAGTTTTATTGAACTCTTCGCTTTCGATCGTAACCCCCTTTGGGAGTACATCTTCCATACTTGCCACGTGCAGTTTGGCGCAGCCACTAAGCAGGGGCTGAGGGGGAGGAGGGAACGCACCAGGGGAAGGGAGAAGGATGGAGCACGAAAGAGATGAGCAGGAGGGGGTTTAGGGGCAGGATACCAAGCGGCAGACCTATACGGGCGGGTCGGGCGCGCGGACCTCAACGGGTGGGTCGGGCGGGAAGGCCCAGACGGCATGGTCGAGCGGGCGGGTCGTCGAAGCGTCGTTCCTACATGCTTCACGAGGACGTCTCAAGCGATAGCGCCATTCCCAAGTAAATCTGGATAGTCTAAAGCAAGAGCGTGGTTCTGAAGTGTCGAGGACGTGGCGTCTCATTGGGAGGACATCACACGCGAGAGCTTGATTCTACGACACATTATAATGAAGTCCAGAGCGAGTTTGCCATCTTGAGCACTTGGTGAACCGTTATTGTTGTGGCTCGGGGGCCAACAGGTCAGTCTGAGGCCCAATACTTTACCTTTATAACGGTCGAGGTGCCAGCCTTGGGAGGGGCACTTCAAGTGAAACAACACAGTGGGCACTGGATGGGGGGATCAGCAATAATTGTTATTTATAACTTAGTTTCCTACCATCAGTTTGAGTGTGTCCGCTCTTCGTTGTTCTCGTGCCAGTCGACATGTATATCCCAAACCCTCGATATCCTCGCTTTTCGTCTTTGACAGTGTTCCCTTGGAGGCGTATGTCTTCCTTCCCCGTCACGTGTAGTTGGAGCAGCCTTTGAAGCATGATGAATCGACGTACTGGAAACCGGGGGAGCGAGGAGGAAGGCGTTGGAGGAAGTGAAGGCAGATGGAAGGGGGCAGGAGGGAGGGAGGCAGGAGACAGAGGACGAGAGGGATTCGCAAGAGGGGATGTCAATGACGTCCCAGGCGAGAGCGCGGTTCCCAAGCAAATGCTGATGCGACAATCCCCAGCGAGAGCGCGATCACCCAGAGCGCCGAGGGCAAGATTCGTGATAAAAAGCTGAGGAAGCCCGTCGGATGTGCGCTCCTTCGCTCCTTGGATACACTGCGAGGAAGTCTATCGCGACCGCGATGAGTTTTCAATGCATGTCTTAAGTCGGGCCTGTCCATCTACAGGAGGGATATTCAAAAATAGTCAAAAGATAGTCTGGGGACTATGTTTGACTATTTTGAGCATGTTGGGGGTATTTGTTGAGTATTTTTAGTTTCCCGCCTAAAATCCCCCTGTAGGAGGACAGGCCCGACTTAAGGCAAGTGAGGACACATCGGGCGGGAGCCGTTGTGTTGTCGTAGAAACCCTGGGGCCGGCAGCGAAGGCCGGGGCACAGGACGTTTTTCTCTGCCAAAGCCAAGGGGGGCCAGCCCCGCCGGGGAGGGGCACCAGAAGGGAGGAGGGAGGAGGGAGGAGGGAGGAGGGGTGCAACATTGCGAGGGAGGAGGGAGGAGGGAGGAGGAAGGAGGGGGGTACCAGAAGGGAGGAGGGAGGAGGTAGGAGGGATCGGGACGACCGACATGGGTACGGGAAGAAGGGGCACAAAGACCCACAGCAGTTCTTGTTAATTTTGAGCAGGACTCGCTGTTCGCGC